ACGCTGGCGCAACCACGTGCCTCCTATACGGGGGAGGCGAGGACATGATAGAGCACATGTGCACATGCCCCGTCGCTCGCGCTGCATACGAGGCGATTTGCAGTAGCACGGGCGTGATGGATGAATGGCGCGACTCATATGCTTTCTTGAGCTTGCAGCTGCACGGTGCCCAGTTGCAGCCCATCGCCGCTTTGCTTTTCGCTGCGGGCAGGGCTCGTTGGGCAATGCGCAGAGGGCGCCGTTTTGACGACGAGCGCGACCTCGTGCAGCATCTCCTGCGCCTGGCGGGGCACCCGTGGCTCAGCGGTTCGAAGGGCGCTCAGAGCGGACAAGGACGCCGAGCGCGCCGAGCGCGACAGCCACCCGAGGACGAGCACGCGGCCACCTACAGATCCGACGGGGCTGCCCGGGGTCAAGGCCGAGCGGGCGACGGGCTCGTCAGCAGCAGCTTCGGCGCCGTTCGCCTCCGGGATGGGGCAGCGCAGGGTCGCGTCGGCAGACTCTTGCCGGCGTGCAGCAACAACGCGGCGGAGTGCGAGGGCATGCTCAGCTGCTTCCGGGACGCCTTGCAACGGCCCGACGCGGCGGTCACGTTCCAGCTTGACTCCTTGCTGCTGGCACGTCAGTGCAATATGGAGTGGCGATGCCGGTCGCCGTCGCTCATCCCGCATTGGGAGCAGGCTGCTGACCTGTTACGCAGGCTCCGCGATAGGGGCACGGCGTACACCATTCGTCACGTCTACCGAGAATTCAACGCACTTGCTGACAGCATCGCCAATGAGGTTATCAACAACGGCCAAGACATCACGGAACATTGGCTTATGTGAGAGATACTGGGACACGCAATGCTTCTTCGGATTGGTTGAAAGCCAAACGGAATTACATAGACTACAGGAACCACCCGCCATCATTGCCACGCAGTGCGGATATTCTTGGTTACGACGGCAGGCTTGGACACGACAGCACGCATTCGGTACGCATTTGAACGGACCTGAGGAACTGGCAGCATGCATTCGGCACGCCGGCATTTGAGCAAACCTGAGGAACCTGAGCAAACCTGAGGAACTGGAACCTGGAAAAGAACAAAATCGGTAGGTTGTAAACGTTGCCTTGCTTGAATGAGTCATTCTCCCGCTGCCGCGCTCGGCCCAGGCGCGCGGCGCCTCGCCGCCGAACCCGTCGCGCGCGCCCCCTCTGCGAGCTGCCCAGCAAAAAAGCATCGAGAATCTGGGATAGATCGAATAGAGCTTTTGGACAAGGCAGCGCGGCGCGCAGCTGGCTTGTCTCGCCTATCTAACTCCAGCTGCCCACCCCTGTTGACCACAACGTGTCCGGCGCAGTGTCTGTCTCCACTTCCACGCGCGTTTTCCCAGGCATGAACTCGGCAATTACGCGTCTGCGATCCGATCCGCAACCAACGCAATGATTGACGATGGACGCCGAAAGTGCGCATTCTGAAATCGATGCGACTCTTTCGCGCCCGCGCCCCCCTGCCGGCGCGCCCACTGCCGCTCGTGCAGCTTCTGCCGTTGATCGTTCGTCGCCGCCAGTTCCTGCGCGTTCGCCCAGCCCGCGGAAAGCTCTCCGATTTCGCTCCTGTTGCCCCGGCCCCGCTCGCCGATGAGGCGCGGGTTGTCGCGGTCGCTCAATTGGCCCAGCTCGGCGTTTGCATCCGCTCCGATAAACGCATTGGAAAGCAATGTTTGGGCCGCGCGGGCCCTCTGCCCAAACTGCGCCAGGCGCGCGGCGCGATCCTCCCCCGGCCCCCTCCCTGCGCGGACAGCGCGCCAAGATGCCAGAACGCTGTGTCATGAGTACAAACAGATAACGTTGCAAATCCCCCCGGCCCCCAATGAAAACCGCGGCCTGACGCGCCCCTGCGCCAATCTTGAAACCAACGCGATTGCAGCGCCCCGTGAAACGTCGACGGCCGCGGCGGCGCAGAGGAGGCGCCCGCCCTCCAGCTCGCCCAGCGCGCCCTCGGCAAGCGACGGCCCCCCCGGCAATGAAACGCCGCCCCGCCCCCGCGAACTGGCGCCCCAGATGACTAACAACTTTGTCCACCGAGCAAGAAGTCATGCCGCGCGCGTTCCAAGGCGGAACTGCCAAGGGGCCCCCCGCGCGGCACCGCGGCGCCTGCCTCAGACGTCGCGCTCGCCGCGAACGCTCGTTGAACGCGCATGGGAACGCCCCCCCATCGACGCCGCGACGCCCGCCAGCGCCCCCTCCCGGCCGTCGTTTGGCAGATGCTTGCTTTGACTAACTGTCGTTTCAAAACTGCCCTTGCGCGACGACGCGCCCCATGCAGCGGCGGGGAAAATGCGTTGCCCCGCCCCCCCCCCCCCCCCCAGCATGCGACTCTCTGCTCCCTCTACCGCGCAATCCCCTTCCTGCAATTCGTAGCTACGCCCCTCTCAGCCAGCGTTCCATTCCCGCCCGCCGCCTCGACGATGGCTCGAACGACTTTCCTGGGTGGTTCCCCGCGCTTGCCATCTATTGAAGCCGGATCTAAGTGCGCGCGCAGGTTTGCCTCCGCTGTCGGACACGCACTTCCTCAAATCCTTTGACGGATTAAACCTGCCCCGCCCTCTCTGCGAACTCTCTGCTTCGCGAGAAAATCCCATCCAAGTCCTGTCTGGCGCCCTGCAAGACTCCCCCGAATAACTGCACGACGCCCTTGGATCCAATGTCTTTCGGGACGGCACCGAAGGTCACTGTGCGAGATGCCTCGTCCTCCTTTGCCTTTTCTGTGGCGTTCGCTTTTTGCGATGCGGGGCCCGTCGACGCCGGCGCCGGCGATTTCCACGCTTTGAACTCCACTTCCAGCGTTTCCAACCATTCATTGCTGGTTGCACGTTCTGGAAATCTGCTTGCACCAACTCGGGTGTCTTCATAGCGTTTTCGGCAGTTGCGTTTGCCAAGTGTGCTGTTTACTTTGCCTGTTCCATGTCACGTTTAGCGCGCATGGCGGCGTCGTACCTTGTCAAATGTATGTAGGAAGTTCCTCTCGTAAAAGGCTGTTCCATAGTATCACGCTGTGCCTTATAATCAGATGGTGCGCTCCCACTCCCGCCCTCAGACGTCTGGGACCCACCAACGAATTGACCCACGACTTCCATGTGAACGAACACTCCACTGATGCTTGCTAAACGGGCCACTTGAGCCAAAATGGTTACGCGTGTGCAAGGACGTTTTGTTGCTCCACTCCGCCGACAACATCGTCCTGCAGCCAACGCTGGCCACCTGCGTGCCCAACTCCGCAGAAAAGGGCATGGTCGAAACGGCTGTCCCAAAACCGTCGCAAGCCGGCGCGAGGTCATTTCGCCTCTCAGCAGCCGCTGGATGAGCGAAACACGATGTTATCCAGGCGCAAGAAGTAGCATGTGACGCAAATTCCGCGCAATCGGCGCCCAAGAGAGACCCCAGGATCGAAACCTCCCGGAAACGATGCTTTTGGCTCACGGGGCGCGGCCCCTCCCTGCAGTCTCAACCAAAACTTCGCTCACAATGCGGCCGACGATTGCGCGGGAAACGCCGGACGCCTTGGTGAAACAAAGCAGCGGACGCAGTCCGCCTGATTGCCGCTGCAATGACACAGGTCGCTCATCCCGCTCCTTCCAAGCCATGACATATGGATGGATTCGTCCAACGCGCCCCAACTTCCAGGCCGTGGCACCCAAGGCTGCCGCGTTCATTCAGATTGGGTGCCCTGGCCGCAGCCAGGGGGGCGCCAGTTGCCTCGCGAACCCGCGAACAAGGCGGACTGGACGACAGGGGGGCGTGGCCAAGCGGGGATTTGCCAAGCAGCTCACATTCCGGATTTTCCGAACGCTTCCTGGCGCCGAAAACGGCCATGCATCGAGGACTGGCCCATCGGCGGGGCGACCGAAACCACCTGCGCGCAGCAGGTTTCGCACCCCCTTTTGCTTCCCCAGCGTTTCGTCCGACACGAGGCGGGCAGTCTTCGTCCCCCCATCTGTCGTGGTTTGTTTGTAACCGTCGACGACGACAAGTGAGCCCCGTGTATTCGACGACGACGACGAAGACGAGGACGATGACAATGACAAGGAGGACGAGGACGAGGACGAGGACGAGGAAAACGCACGGCGGACGGGGACGGGGACGGCGGACGGCGACGGCGATGGCGATGGCGACGGCGACGGCGACGACGACAACGCATTGCGGATGCCGCATCGGGTGGGGGGTGCTGCGTAGGCCCCCCGGTGTAGTCGCCGACGACGACGACAACGACGACGACGCCTGAGAGAGGAAAAACCATGTATACGACCCCTATAATAACTTCTATATGGAGGGCAACTCGGCGTCGCCCGCGACGACCCCCTGACGCGCGTGATTAAATAGATGTGTTGCGCCCCGCGGGGTCTATTCATCAGCGCCCTGGGCGGAGTCCCTCATTTGTTAATCCAAAGCTGACATTACTTGTCTGTTGCTCGAAATTCTTTCTGGTAGTCATGGCTAAACTAGGTTGGAACATCATGCGTCAGGCCAGGGATCCTGAGCTGAACCCTCGCTTGCTTGAGGTCCCCCGCCCCTGGCGCCCAATCTCTCAGGGCCCCATCTCCGGGGGAGCAAAGACAGTATCGTCGACGACACGCCGCCGTGGGACACACATCACCGCGTCACGGCTGAAGAAACACCACGTCTTCGGACAAGGACGACATAGCAACACGCTGACGGACTCCCAGCAGCAACGCGTCATGGATTCTCTTTCTCGGTGGCCCTACAGCGGTGCGGTGACACACCGCGTGGTGACATCGAAATCTCCAGAGACCTCACCGCACGGTCCGGCACCGCATAGCTTTGGGACCCTTGAGGCCCCAATCGCCCGAGGCATCCTCGGAGAGCGGTGACCCAAAATCCCCATTGACGCACCATGCGGTGTGGTTGGTCACCACACCGTTTGGGGGCCCGAGAATCATTGATACTCTTCCTCCCTCCCGAATCTTCGAGCAGCTGGGCACAGGCGCCCGCGGGGTGGCCTCATCGATGCCTCCGGCGCCGGTCGCGTCCGGCTCCAGCGCCGAGGCCCCCAGCGCTTCCAGCTCCGCGCGGGTCTCGTCGAGGCGCCTGGGGGCGACCGCGGCGCAAGGGAAGGGCCTAGCCAGTCCTGCGGACCATGTCCTCCACGAGGGCCTCTGGTCCAGAACAAGAGACCCTCGAGAAAAATACGGGGGCGCACGAAATGGCTCGCTGACTCCCTCTTGCTCCTCCCCCTCCTCCACGCCTTCTCGACCTCCCTCATCCCAAGCCTCCGCGTCCCCCGGCCTCCCCGTCCTCCCCGTCATCACTCCTGCCGCAACCACTAGCAGCATCATCAGGTTCATCATCACCACCACCACCACCACCACCACCACCATCATCATCATCATCATCATCATCAACACCACCACCACCACCACCACCACCACCACCATCATCATCATCATCATCATCATCATCATCATCATCATCATCATCATCATCGTCATCATCATCATCATCATCATCATCATCATCATCATCATCATCAGTATCATCATCAGCATCATCGACGTCATCATCATAATCATCGTCGTCATCATCATCACCATAGTCATCATCATCATCATCAGTATCATCGTCGTCGTCGTCGTGGTCGTCATCATCATCACCACCATCATCATCATCATCATCGCCATCAGTATCATCATCGCCAGCATAAAATCAGCCCCATGTCATCATCAGCATCATCGTCATCATCACAATCATACTCAGCATCATCATCATCATCATCATCACCATCATCATCATCATCATCAGCAACACGATCATCATTATCATTACAATCGTCGTCATCAACATCATTATCATAATCAGCATCATCATCGTCACCATCATCGTCATCAACATAACAGTCAACATCATTATCAGCATCAGGATCGCCGTCATGGTCAGCAGCATCAGCATCATCCTCATCCTCAGCAACATCGTCATCATCATCCCCAGTCTACAGCAGCATCGTCCTCGTCGTCATCGTCTTCAGATCATCATCATCATCATCATCATCATCATCAGCATCATCATCATCATCATCATCATCAGCATCATCCCCAGAATCACCCACATGATCATCGTGGACGTCGTCATCGTCAGCAGCGTAGTCAGCATCATCATCTGAATCGTCGAAGTCTTCGTCAACGTCGGCGTCACCCTAGTCATCATCACCAGCAGCAGCAGAAGCAGCAGCCGCATCATCATCATCATCATCAGCAGCAGCAGCATTATCATCATGACCACCATGATAATCATCATCATCAACATGATCAGCATTAGCATCATCACCATCATCATCAGCATCATGACCTCCTTCTGCTTCGTCACCATCAGCAACACGCATCATCAACATCGTCGTCATCATCATAATCATCAGAATCATCATAATCACCACCATGATACTAATATTGATCATCATCACCGTCATCGGCATACGCATCATAATCAACATATTCAGAATCATAGCCGTCCCTGTCATCGCATCATCAGCATCATCAATACCTCCATCATCATCACCATCATCATCATCGTCATCGTCGTCATCGTCGTCATCGTCATCGTCATAATCATCGTCAGCGTCAAAATCGTGAGGGCACAAGAATCGCATCACCGCCGATATCCTACGATCATAACGCGTCGTCGCGATAATCATCAAGGCACGCAGCATTATCACCATCAGCGGGCAGGTATACAGGGTCGGCGTTAACTGGGGGTCAAGCTGGGTCAGTCGATTACACCGATGCTACCGAAACCAGCGCGCATCCTACTCTTCTACGTCCTGTCCCTCCCCCTCTTGCCCCTATGTCCTTCCTCCTCTCCCTCCTCCCCTGTTCCACTCGAGCACCATGAGCGGCCAGGAGCCGGAACGAGGAGCGAAACAGAAAGGGGGAACTACGGCGGGTTCGTGATGTAACGACCTGCGCTGTCGTGTCTTACTCCGCGTGCGACGCGGTCGCGCGAAGAGGGGGAAAAAGTACGGCGCACGACGACGACGACCACGACGACGACGACGCTGCGCGGCCCACCCTTGGGCCGCGCCGCACGCCTGCGACCCTCGCCGAGCTCTATCCTCGATCCGTTGGGCCCCAAACTGCTGGGCTAGAAAACCAGCGCGAGCCAAGGGAGACGAGCCCGGCCTCTCAGGCAGGAGGAGCCAGGATGAGCACAAGAAGAATAATAACATGAACAGATGCATGAATCCAAACACCCAGAAGTCCACGCTGACTTCTTTGATGGGCGCTGGGCCCCACTAGCGGCGTCAGAGGCGTCACCTTTGGCGCGCTCTGCAGGGGTCCAGCGCAGATCCAAAAATCTGTGCAGACCACCGACATATTAAGCGTATGCGTTTTGTCCCCAGTCGAGTTTTGCATAGAATGGTATTGCTTGTTTGTGAAACAACTGGTGGGTGCGGGGTCCTTCGTCCCCAGCGTTTCTCGGGGTTGCCCAGGGTTGCCTACGGTTGCCCGTGCTATGCCAAGCAATTCGAAGCAATGCCAACAATAGCAAGCAGGGCCGAACAACATCAAGCAACGTCAAACAATGCCAATCAATGCAAAGCCAAGCAACGCCGAGCAACGCCAAACAATGCTTCCAAGCAGAGCAAACAACGCAAATCAATGCTAAGCAATGCCAAGCAATTCCAAACAACATCAATCCATTCCGGACAATGCAAAGCAATACCACGCAATGTCAAACACCATTTTCAAGTAGAGCCAAGCAATGCCAAGCAATGCCATGCCAAGCAGCGCAGAATAATGTTCAGGAGCGACAGTCAACGCCAAGCAAGGCTAACCCACGCGAAACCAGACCAAGCAATGCAACATATAATCACGCAATCCCAAGCAATGCCAAGAAATGCCAAGCAATGCCAGGCAATGTCGAGCAATGCAGAACAACGCCAAGCAATGAATAAGCAATGCTAGGCCGTGCTAAGCAAAGCAAGGAAATGCCAACCAGTGCCAAGCAACATGATTCAACGAACGCAGGCAACGCCAAGAACTGCCAAGCCAATGCCGAGCATTGACAAGCAACGCCAAGCAATGCTTCCGAACCGTGCCAAGCCAATTCCGTGCCAACAAAGGCCAAGCAACGCCGAGCAACGCTCAGAAACGCCAAGCATTCTCAAGCGATCACAAGCACTTGCAAGCAACGCCAAGCAATGCATTGTTCATGACTGGTGTGAACTGATTCGGGAGATGAAGAAGGCCCGAATTTGGAGTCGCAGCGGGTTCGTGTCCTTTTCGAAGGAACGTGTACCGCTCGACCAGGGCTCCGACCCCTGGTCGAGCGAGGGTGGACCCTCACGCGGACCCTCATGTGTAGTTGTGATTTTGGCCAGAGAAGTCAAAGCTCAAATCGTTTATGGTATGGTATTGACGTTGAGTCATTTGATAGCCTGAGCCTTCACAAGAGAACTTTAAAACAACATGCTCACCAACTTCTCCTTTCACTCACCGCCGCATTTGCTTTCCTATCGGGCCACAGAGCGCGCGAGCAGTGCGTCGAAATGGGCGCGGGGCGGCGTGCGCCAAAATCCTCGCGGGGCGGTCCTCTTATTCCCTCCTACCTCCCTCGCCCTCGCCCTCGTCCGTCTTAGTCGTCCGTCGTCGTCGTCGTCCTCGTCGTCGTCTGTCGTCGTCCGTCGCCGTCATCGCCCGTCGTCGATGTCCGCCGTCGTCGTCGTCGTCGCCCGTCTTTGTCGTCCGTCTTTGTCGTCCGTCGTCGTCGCCTTCGGTGCGCCTCGTCGTCGTCGTCGTCGTCGTCGTCGTCGTCGTCGTCGCCCGTCGCCGTGCTCGTCGTCGTCGTCGTTTTCGGCCGTCGTCGTCGCCCGTCGTCGCCATCCGGTACATTGCAGGATACTGCGCGCATGTATCATCTCAGGCGGGTTGGGTCGCGCGCGCCCCCCCCCCGCCCTCTGGTGGACGCCATGCCCATGCAGGCGTCGTCCCAGGCGCGCCGCAGGCGCTCGCACGCGCGCGGACGTCGCGGCGGCCGACTACCAGGCGGTCATCCGCCCCCTCTGCGATGAGCAAAAGAACGGGGGGGCGCGCGCGCGGAGATATGTTGTATGTTGTGATCTTCTGTCCGTCGTATATTTAGTCTGCGTTCTCATAATGTTTTTTTCCTCCGTTCACCCTCATCCCCCGCCGTCCTCCACCCCCCTCCCCCCGCGCCCGCCCGCGGGGCCACGGCGAAAAGCGTCTCTGGCGCGCTCTTAGGCTTTTGCTTTGTATCCTGCACTCTTGTGCAATTGAATATATTGCGTGTTTTTTGCTTCGTCCCATGTCGCGCACGTTGCATAGGGCGCATTCCCGCCGCGCGCTCTCCATACCCCCTCTCTCTCGCAGCCGGCCGCCAAAGGACAGGCGCCTCTTCCTCTGCAGCCGGCACAACACACGCAGCCCGCTCGACCGCAGCTCAGGGGGGATCCTGGACCCCGCGCCGCGCTGACCAGGGCTACGTGGACGAGAACGACCCCAACGACCATCTGTATGCGTGGCCCCGCCAGGCCACCAACTGGGACCAAACCTGGAGTTACAGAACTGGCGCCTACGGAACTTGGCCCGAACTGGTCAACCGGCTGAAGCGGGAGCGCGGTGCCTTTTCGCCGAGGGGTGGAACAGGGTCTGCGACCAGCGCGACGGCAAAGGCGAAGGGAAAGGCACCTGCAACCACCGCGGGCAGGACGACTTCTGCGAGCGCTTCCTCACCGACCTGGCCTGGTGGCGCCACGACATCCGCCGCCTCTGCTGGGCACGCGACATCCACGTGGATTAGAAAATGTTCTGGCAGCGCCAGCGCCGCAGAGAGCCCATGACCCAAGGTCGCGACAGCGACGGCCGAGGCAATTGAAAGGGCGGTGGCTGGGAGGGAAGGGCAAGCGTCACGCCGACCCTACCTGGCCCGCGCTGCGACTGACCCGGCCCGCCAACGCGGCCTCCAACGTTGCCAGTTCCCGCAGGCCTGGCTGTTGCCGTCCTTGGCGTTTCCCCCAAGGCCAAGCGACCTTTGACAGCGTGATCACCACTTATCACGCGGTAACATCGACATCCGACTGCACGGTCGCCCCAATCCGTGCCTCGCTCAGCCCCTGCGCCGCAACGCCAGCTCTGTACCTTCCCAAGCACGGCGTCCTGATACCTGCTGCGTCTACCCTCTCTCTCTGCTCACCGCGCTGCGCGCTGTCTGCCCGGGCGGTGCGCAGCCCTGTTGTCACAAGTCGTTGCATCGTTGCACCGCTCAAGTGTTTTCTCGTCTCCGCTCCTCCTCCCGCCCGCCTTGGCGGCCCCCGTCGCCACCCCTCCCCTGGCGCGCCTCCGCCGCCCCGCGCGGCGCGCCCCCCGCCCCTCGCGTGCCACCTAGGCCCCTCTGGCCCTGGCACGCGCAGCCTTGGCGCCCGTGCCCGTTCTCCAGGCACCTCCACGCCCAACGCCGCAATCACCACCCGGTTGCTGCAACGGCGGGTGCTTCCCAGTGCCCAACCGGGCCGCCGCTCGCGCCGCCTCGCGGGCTGACGCCGCCCCGTCCGTCGGGTGCCACCCGCGGGCGGGGCGCTCCTGTTTCCCCTTTCCTCCTCCCCCCTCTCCATATTCCCTACCTCACATCGCGCCGCCATGGCGCCTCCGCGCTGCTGCTTCGCCCTCGGCTTGCAGCTCAGCCCCCCGGCGCCGACCTGGCGCTCCCCTGGCGCGGCCGCTGCTGGTGTGCGTTGGGCACTACACGGTCGACGTACATGATGGGTACAGCACCTTGTTGGTGGCAATCCTGGGGCTCCTGCACTGGTTCTACTTGCTCTTCACCGCTATTGCGCCCGGGCAGCGCCGCTCCGGCCCTGGCCCCGGCTGCTGCCGCGACCTCGCTGCCCTGGCTAACCGCCCCGGCCCGCTCACCGCGGAAGTCTTCCGCTTCTGAGCGCGTCTCTCCTCCTCCCCCCGCGCGGCCGCCCCCCTCCCCCCCTCTCTTGCACGCTGGACTATTTGCCGATCGTTGCCCCTGGTTAGCCCGACGCTGGTGCGGATCGCCTCCGCCTCGCCGCCGACGAGAAGTCTCGGGTTGCGCGTCTCGGCGTCCCCTAATACCCCTCTGCGCGTGCACGACGTTTCTGGCATAACTAGGCATAACTAAGCTGAAAACATCGTTGCCGTATCTCCGACTGGCTCGTGGGGATAGGGGCCTCCCAACTTGGGACCCGAATGTATGGGGTCGCAGGATGGCGCCGCACCGGCGACACCAGCGTGGAGAAGATCGAGCTCCACATCGAGCCGCATCCCCGATGCATCGGCGATGCGGCACGATCCTCCGACGCAAACTGGTCGGGCCCCATTTAGGCGGACTGAAGAAGAGAGAAGGAGAAGGATCGGAGGATGGCCACTTGAGACAACGGTGGCTCTCCCGCCTGGCCCGGATCCGCTCCAAAAAGGGTCCCCGGACCCCTGCCAGGGTGGATCCTGATCCGTGTTGCGAGGCGGACCCAGCAGTGGCGACGAGAGGCCTCCAGGTCCAGAAAGGATGAGAAATGCCGGGGAGGCCCGCCGTTGTCTCGACCTGCCTCTCCCTCGAGAGGAGGTGAGAGGCAGGATGGAGGGTGGACAGGCTCAGTGTGGGGGGGGGACCATCGACCTGGAATCGGCGATACATCGCCGATAGATCGGCGACAGGCCCCCAGTACCGAATCAGCACAAATCTGAGCGGGGGGTGGGCTATCGGGCCCCTATCGGCGATATCTGGGCGACTGGAGGTCGATGCGTCTCCCCATGAGCCCATCCCCCCTGACGTTGCCCCTGATCTTCCGCTCCCTGGCTTTCGAGATATAAGATGGGCCTCTGGCCCACGGAACGACGCCCTCGCCGAGGCGAAGCTGATGGAAACCACCTGGGGCTTCGGAAAGCCTGCCGTTGCTCCTGAGCAACCCCGCTAACGTTGTAGCGCAGGTGAAAGAACAAACAACATATACATCACCTGTCGAAGCTCTGCGCGGATTTCTCAGGTCGGCGCTGGCCACCGGGCGGCACCCGAGGCGCCGCCAGGAAGTCCGCGCCGATCCACGAAATCCGCGCGGAACTCCGACAGGCTCTGCTTATACCGCTCTTCCTTCGTCGACGAACGTTGCCCCTGGTGAGGAGGGAGGAGGGGCGAGAGAGCCCCTGGACCCACAATTCGGACCTCGGGTGGCCGTTCGGGACGATCCCGGCATCCCCAGAAAGCCCTCGACGAGGCGCAGCTGATGGAAACCACCCCAGGTTTCGCAGAGTGTCGAAGACTCCCGAAAACGTGCCACAGCCATAACGCTGCTCCTCAGCCCCCCCCACCTGACGTTGCCCCTGAGAAGGAAAAAAGGGCGAGGGAGCCTCTGGACCTCCTCCTCGCAGGGCTGCTCCTCCGCATCCTCGGCGTCCGCATCGTCCACGGGCCTGCCGCTCCCGCTCGCCTCAGGCGGCGTCCGAGTCGTCCGGGGCCCCTCCCGCGCCGTCGTCTGGCGTCGGCTGCGTCGTCCGCGTCTCCTGCTCTCCTCCATCGTCGTCCGCTCTCCTTATCATGCCCCTCCTCGTCTTTGGCGTTCGCCTCGCTCCCCTCGTCCGCTCTCCTCGTCCTCGGCGTCCTCTGGCGTCGTCCGCTCTCCTCGTCCTCCCGACCAGCCATAACGGGGAGCTGTGGTCCTTAACCCCTGCGGGAACCCATCGCATCGACGATCTCTCGAGAGGGTTGTTGAAATCGATGGGTCCCCCAGGGGGGTAAGGACCAGAGCACCCCCAGTTGTGGCTGGCCTGTCCTCGGCGTCCGCGTCGCTCTCCTTCGCGTCGCCCGCGGGCTGTCCGCTCCCGCTCTCCCGCCGTGCCGCCGCCCAGGCTTGCTGGCGGCGAGCGGCCGCCCCCGCGTCGACCCCGTCGTCAACGTCATCATCGCAATCACCACCACTCCAACCACCATCGCCACCATCATCGTGATCGTTGTCGTCGCCATCACCATCACCATCACCATCACCATCACCATCACCATCACCATCACCATCACCATCATCATCATCATCATCATCATCATCATCATCATCATCATCATCATCATCATCATAATCGTCATCATCTTCGTCATCATCATCATCAACATCATCATCATCGTCATCATCATCATCATCCTCATCCTCATCCTCATCATCCTCATCATCATCGCCATCGTCATACAAGAATAAGCATCATCATCACCATCATCGTCATCATCTTCGTCATCATCATCAACATCATCATCGTCATCGCCATCGTCATACTAAGAATAATCATCATCATCACCGTCATCATCATCATCATCATCATCATCGTCATCATCATCATCATCATCAGCATCACCACCATCATAATGGCCATGACCACCGCCCTCCTCCTCCTCCTCATCATACTCATCATAATCATCATACTCATCATCATTAGCACGTTAGGCATAATCACCACCATCGTCATCATCATCAACAACAGCAGCAGCATCATCAGCATCAGCATCGTCGCCATCATGATAAGCCTCAGCATCAGCATCAGACTCATCAGCATCATCGTCATCATCATGTTCACCATGACCGTGACAGCCACCACATAAATCTTCATCATACTCGCCAGCATCAACATCATCATCGTCATCATCATCATCCCCATCAGCATCAGCAGCATCATCATCGTCATCATCATCAGCATCATCATCAACATCATCATCTGCGTCGTCATCATCATCAGCATCATCATCATATGCATCGTCATCATCAGCGTCGTTGTCTTCGTCGTCGACGTCAGCGTCATCATCACCACCACCACCACACTCAGAATCATCACCACCATCATCACCAGGGGCAACATCAGCATCAGCATCAGCATCAGAATCAGCATCATCATCATCATCCGTATCAGCAGTATCATCAGCATCATCACCAGCATCATCATCATCATCACTATCATCAGCATCGTCATCGTCATCATCATCGTCGTCGCCCTCGTCATCATCAGCATCATCATCATCATCATCATAATTGGCGTCATCGTCATCAGCATCATCATCATCAGCATCATCGCCATCAGCATTGCAATCGACATCACGATGATAATCACCATCAGCATAAACATCGCCATCATCGTAATGGTCAACACCATGATCATCACCAGCAACAGCATCATCATCATCATCACCATCATCAGCATCGTCATCATCATCAGCATCAGTAGTATCAGCACCATCATCATCGTCAGCAGACTCGCCATTATAATCATCGTCATTATCACTATGATCCTAAACAAGCTCATCCTTATCATCATCATCATCATCATCATCATCATCATCATCATCATCATCACCATCATCATAATCACCATCATCATCATCAGTATCAACACCACCATTAGCATCAGGATTGTCCTCGTCACCATCATCATCGTCATCACTACCATCACCATATTCATAATCGGCATCACTACCATCACCAGCACCATCCTCATAATCATCAATGCCATCATCATCAGCCTCATCATCGTCATAACCACCGTCCCACCATAATAATCATAATAATAATACTAATGATGACCATGATGGTTATGTACACGATCAGTCGCCTCCTCGTCCTGCTCTCCAGTATCAAGCTTCCTCCCCCTCCTCATCATCATCGAAAGCATCGTCATTATCCTTCCTCATATTCCCTCCATCTTCTCCCCTGTGTTAACCTCTGTCGGGAAGTATCAAGCGAAACTTCCAAACCGCCGTACTGGCACGCCTGATGGTTCGAGGAGGGGACTCTTGTAAGAACGAGGGATGGAGGAAGGAGTTAGACAATGGGAAGAGGGGAGTACGAATGGGGGGCAGGAGGAGGGAAGGAACGATGAGAAGGGGGATGAGCATGATTGAGGAAAGAGGGAGGATGACAAGGATGCGGAGGAGGAGAAAGAAGGAAACTCGTAGTAAACTCTCTCTGCGTATTCTCCTCCTGGTACAGGTGGAATAGGGGGAGGGAGGAAGTGGAAGGGAGGGATGCGGGGGAAGAGGAGGAATGTCTCTCCCCCCTCGTCCATCCTCTTGCTTCTCCCAGCTCCTCCTCCCCGCTCCTCCTCCTCCTCCTCCTGCTCCTCCTCCTCCTCGCTCCTCATGTGGAGAAACCAGCAATGCCAATACCGCAACTCCCCGCAACTCATCCGCGAACGCTTTCTGACCAGATCTTTGAAGACATCCAGCCGTGGAGACCCGAACCCCCCAGGAAACCCCAAGAAGGCGAGAGCGAGGCGAAGGCAGCGGTAACGGCACTTGCTTTTCCTCTTGTAAGCGCTTTTTGTTCTGAGTTTGGATGTTTGGCCGACGGGTGGGAGGGAGGGGGCCTGGGTCCGGGCTGGTGCTTAATCGATCCGTTTTTGCCAGTCGCGCAAGCAAGCGGACTGGGGTGGGGGCTTGCCCAACCGCCAGGAGCAGCCAAGATCTGGCCTACACGGGGGTGCGGAGAAGGCCAGCGCCGACCGGCGAGACAATGCGCAACAAAGAATTGCTAGATTCGTCAGCGCGCCAGTGCCTCCAGGCGCCCCGAGCTGTAGTTTGGGGCGTCCTTCTGGCACGCGGAGCGGCCTCCAAGCCGCCCTGCGGACCATTGAAACGAGAAACGGTAGCTGGGGTGGGTGGGCACCGAGCTCGAGCCTCCCACGGCAGCGAGACCAAAGTGGCTGGCCCAATTCTCCCAGATCCGACCTATCCTATAGTCTACGCACCACAGCAGCACAGACTAAATCAGATACACGAGCGCGTACGCACTGAAAGAGGAGGAGGAGAAGAAAAAGGAGACGAGGCAAGGAAAAGACGGAGAAGGATACTCATGGCAACGCGGCCACTCGCTCAGCACGCAGGGGGGGGGAACCCCGCCCGGTCAGTCCCTCCAGACGCCCCGGGCTGCAGCCTGGGGCGTCCTTCTGGCGCGCGAGGCGGCCTCCAGGCCACAAGCGAAACCCGGAGCACAGGGCCGGAACCAGGAGCGCCTGGCCGGCGCGGCCCCGCAGGGCTCCGCCGAACAAGAGGAAGTAAGTGGTGGAGAGGCCGACGCCCCAGCGGCCCCAAGGCCGTTGTGGCACCTGGGCCTGGCAGAGGTGCCAGCGCACGTGCGGGGCCACCTCGTGCCCGGCTCCGCCGGGGAGGGCCAGTCCAGCGGCAGTGGCCCGCGCGCCGGGCGCGGCGGCCGCGCCAAGGCGGGGGCCCCATCTCCGGGCTCGCGCTACCCCCGCCCTCGGATACCACGCCGAGCGGGCGAGGGGGGCGTCCGGCGCGCCTGGGCGGTCTGAGCGGTCGCGCGCCGCAAGGCCATCAGGGGCAACGCCCGCGCGCCACAAAGAACACACACACACCCTCGCAGGCCACGCCCCGCGGTGGCCGCGGCAGCCCCCAGGCCCCAGGGCCCGCCCGCGGGCGAGGGCGGCAAGGGCAACCGTGGATCTGAGAAGCGGCGCTTGGTATACCTGCTGCCCCCCGAGCCGGCAGAACTGGCAATCAGCCACGGGCACTCGGGCCAGCAGGCGCCTTCCCGAGCTGCGAGCTGAGGCCGCCGCGGCAAATCGAACAGAGCTCGCGTCTGACCAGAGGGCGCCGACGGCCCCTCAGGCCGCGGCGTCCCACATCCGCGTGAATCGTCGCGCCCTCCGCATCGGCGTGGAAGACGACGCGAGTCGAGTCTGGCCGCCCGCCCCCGCGGGCCTCTCGCCGCGAGTCGGGACAAGACCGCGCTGGCTCGGCGGAGGCGCGGCGCCGCTGCGCCCCTCGCCGCCCGGCTCGCGAGATGCGGGGGCGCGGCCCCGGCCATGGCGGCCGACCAAGAAGCCGACCGACGTGCAGAGGGCGGACCAGAGCAGCCAGAGTTCCAAGTGGCTCGCGGCCTTCCTCTGCGGGCGCAGCCCAAAACTTGACCTTGGGCACCCTGGGCTAACGCTGCGTGGGTAGCCCAGCGCGCCGCCCCGCCCCCGCGGCGAGACCCGCTCGGGCTTTTCTATGGCGCCCGCCCTGGGGTGTGCGAGGGGCCTGTGAATGCGGCGCCCACGCCCGTCGCGGCTGCGGCCTCTCCCAGCCCCGCGGCCGAGGAGGCCGACGGCGCGTGGCCATTGGCCATGCCGCGGGCGAACCCTCGCTGGCAGCGGCGGCCCTCCCATAGGCGCCCGTGCAAGGCATCCATGCTCCGCCGTCCAAAGCGCCTGAACGCCCCAAGTCTCGCGCCGAATGGCAGAGCGACGTGGCCCTCCCGGTCCGGAAGGGGCGGCCCCCGATCAGGCCGTCCTCCAGCCCGCAGCGCCTCCACGACGAACGGCACCAATCCCGACAGGTAGCGGTTCCGATGGGCCACCTTCCTCAGCTGGTCGGTCCTGGGCACCGCGATGGTGAGCACCGCCTCGTCGCCGCTGCCGAGGCAGCGCGCGCTCGCCCAGCTCCGCAGCCCTT